TATATACGTATACATATAACCTACTATCATTTATTAAAAAGACCTTTCCCTATCATTCTGTAGTGCTACCTTTGTTGTAAATCCAATGTCCATATATGCATGGGTCTGTTTCTGAGCTGTCTATGCTGTTCCTTTGGTCTATTTATTCTTGCACTAGTACCACATTATTAATTACTGTAACTTTATAATAAGTGTTCATATCTTAAACAAGTCTTGTCCCCTTATTTTTCTTTGGTAAGAGTGTCTTCGCTTTTCTTTGCATTTCCTCATCCCTTTTAATTCATCTTAGGGGCAACTAACTGATCTTAGAGTGTAGCTTTAACTTGATACACAGTTCATGCTAGTTTGTGGTACTTTAAATTAAACAACACTAGTGTCCCAACTCAGAGGAACATGCAGTTGCATCTTAGGAAGATCACTGGTGCCTGCAGCCAAGTAGCCTCTGAGAGACTGTGGACCAGATAGGATGAGATAAATCTGGTGTGAGAAGCTAGTGAAGGCCAAGAAATTGACACCAAATTTCACCCTCCTGGATTTTAGCATCATTCCCAAGGAGGAGATGTAACCCAACTATTGTGAACCTAGTAATGTCTGTCTTGTTCACTGTTACATTGCTGTTCCTGGTATATAATGGGCATTCAATAAATATTTGTCAAATGAGTTTACATACATCTCCATACAGCCTATATTATATGCTTCTCAGATGACATTTATGTGGCTATGAGTTTCACTACCTTAGATGCTAGGATGCTTGAAGCTAATTTTTCCCCAGCTTTATTGAGGTATAATTAAAAATTAAACTAAATTTGTAATGGCCTGTGACATTTTGTCATTTCATGGAGTTGCCTTTCTGTTTAAAGTCTTATATGTATCCCCTCGAGTCTTTTAGGAAATAAGTGATACAGATTTTATGTTGAAATAAGTTATTACCTGTCAGTGATTTTAAAAGTTTGTTGACCTTCTACATCCCTAAGTGGAATTAACTTGCAAGTTCCTTAGCACACTAAGTTCATATATAAAATTCAATCAAGATCATATCTAGATTTTCATATTTCAAAATACTCAATTTTTTAGTAGAGAAACTGCCAAGTTATCCTATATTTTTCCATTGTGATTTTACTTTCCTTCTTGAAAAGATGAATACAGTTGATGAAACTTAAAAAAATATAGCACATGTTGAGTAGTTTTCTGCCCTAAGTATTAAAATTCTATGTTTTTTAATGCAGATGTGGAATTAGAAGAAGCTATTAGAAGAAGTCTTGAGGAAATGTAACTAAAGATATTACCACACAACATCAAGTGGCCTTGAAGAGACTCAGATAATGAATTCTTGAGTTTGTTTTCTAAAGGAGACCAGAAATCCACTATTACAAATGTATTTGAAAACATGGTTTTGCTTTCATATGTTCAAAATTTGATCTTTGTTTTGTATTTTTGTGTTAATGTGCAAACATGTACAGAAGGAATAGAATACATGTTCATGCAAATATATAAATCATGTATTCTAATATAGGTATAACAGTTTCCCAGTTAACTTTGAATTTATATATTTAGATTTAAAGGATTTAAAAAAAAAAAAAAAAGGAAAGCTCTTAACAGTTGTTTCCCAAATAGCATTAGTTCTTTAATTTTATTTGTACTGTACAAATGATTCTAGTTTTTTTTTTAGGAGTGAAAATGAATATAAAAAAGGTGACATAGGTCAAGTTTTCCATAAATTCTACTTCTCATGTGGCACTATTATATATTACCTTTGAGATCTTTGTTTATGTTTATTAGAAGAGGGTAATGGAAACTGATCATGGAAACACTTAAAATTTTATCAGCAGTGTTCTTTGTGGGTGCCATGCAGATGTGAATTACTGCTTTAATTAGAGCAGCACATTGCTAAAATAAAAAATACACCTTAATTTTTAAGAAATAATTTAAATGAAACAATTTCCATTCCTTTTACCTGCTTAGACTTTTATGTGACTTGTATGATCTCCTGTTTAAAGGGAATGGTGTCAAAATATTTGCATAAAATTATTTTTCATAATACTAGTCCTTTTTTATATATTTGTGTAAACATAATATCTTCAAGAAATAATGTTGAAAGCCTACTCAGGAATAATCTTCCTTAACTCTTTAAAATTTTTATTTCATATAGAGTGTCTTCAGTTTAGTTATTCACTGAATTGTCAGTTTCCTTCATTTGGTATTACATATTTAATTCTTAAATATTGAGGCCCCATTGTGAGTAATACAAAATACGACATAAGTAGAAGACTAAGAAGGGCTTGTCATATGATCTTTGTGTATATGCTTCATGTTATTTGACCAGAAATGTCTTATCTCTAAAAATTTTTAGTAGTAATTATTTACCAAACTTAAAAACATTTCCATAAATATAAAGCTTTCCTTTATATTTAAGACAAAATATAAAGGCTAGAATTTTGTTCCTTCTCTGTAACACTAAATATTTTAGTGTGAAAGTGAATTTTTTTATTACTATAGTCTTTTCAATCTACAAGTTGTGTTTTTAATTTCTTGATATGTCACTTCCGTTCCTCTCTGCTTGCATTTTTTTAAAAGTAGACATTGTGGCTTGAGAATTTATCAATCATCTTTCCAAAATGACCACATTGTGCTTTTAGTTTGTATGTTTAAGTGGTCAAGCAAGGCTCTAGGAGGTAGTCATTGAGCTGGACCTTAAACACATCTGCGGGAGCTCACAAAATAGGAGCAAAAGAGGCATTCCAGAAAGATGAGTGGTTAAGCAGATGTGGGGGCAGGGCAAGAGGAGACAGCTCCTTGTTGCCAGAGATTCTACACAAAGGTGTCATGGACACTGATGCTCTATTAAGAAGCTTTTGTGGTGTGTGTGGTAGAGAATAAGGCTTTTGATATAACAGGAAAGGGATATTTCATCATGACTCTTAAGAAAAGGTAACTGGGTTGTTTAATGTTTTAATTGATAATTGTCACTGATTGTATTTCTACCTGTTAAATAATTAAAAATCATCTTAAAATTCATACTTTGGCTTTAATTTAGACAAAAGGAGATGTAATCGCTGTGTAACATTAGAGAAAGTTATATGGATTATCATCAAAAGTAAATGTTTCAAACATTGACAAAGATGCTTATCTTTTCATTACATCATTCACTCATTAATTCATTCAATCACAAAATATTTATTGAGTACCAACCATGTGCCAGCAACTATTCTAAGCACTTGGAATATACCAGTAAGCAAAACAAAGCCCTTTACCCGTCTGTGGAGCACACATTGGTGGAGAGGAGGAGATTGTACAATGTTAGTAAGCAAGCAAATAAAACTGCATATCTGATGGTGATACATGTAACGAAGGAAAATGAAGGGAAGGGAACAAATAGTGCAGGGACAGGGAGTTGCAGGGAGGCTTGCTATTTTTAATAGGGTGGTCAGAAAAGATCTCACTGATAGGTAAACTTGAGCAAAGACCTGAAGAAGGTGAGGGAATGAGGATGAAAAATATATATAGGGAAGAGAGTTCCAGGTGGAGAAGGGGAAGGTCCAGACAGGAGCTTAGTATATTCAAGGAAAAGCAGGAAGACTATTATCACTGAGAGGATGAGCTAGGAGAGTAATAGGAAATGAACTTGAGGTTTTTCTAATGACCTTGGCTTTTACTCCGAGGTGAGGAGCGATTGAAGGTTTCTGAGAATAAATGGTATGATCTGCCTAATTTAGGATTGCTGTAGTTGCTGCACTGAGATAACATGTACATGAGAGGCAAGAGTAGAAGCACGGAGACCAGAGAGGAAGGTATTGTAGTACTTCAGGTACTGACTTACCAGGTAGCATGAACCAGAATGGTGGCGGCAGAATTGGGAAGAATCTGGATATATTCTGAAGGTAAAATTAATGGGATTTACTAATGAGGTAGATCTAGGATATGAGAGAAAAAGAGTTCAGGATGATTCTAAAGTCACTTGATAGACTTTCAAACCACTCACAAAATGTGTTTTGTTTTCGTTTGTGTCATGATAAAGTATTTTTAATAAGGTCAAATGCCCTACCCCAAGAGTTAATTAGGATTTAGAATGAGTTCAGAGGGAATTGGGATCCAGCCTTAAGGGCTTCAACTCTGTTCAAGTATTTAAATGACTTTGATCTCTGATTAAAGGTGCTAGTTCAGCTTTAGACTATTATTATCTATCATTTTCTGTGCCGTGTACATTTTCATCCTTGCAGTGAGAGGCATAGAGCTATCAGGAGAGGGGGGACCAAAGCCTAACTTTTTAAGTAGACTAATCTTTGTATCCTCAGCTCTATTCCATCTTTTACCGACAGCTGGTGCCTGACCTAGAGGCCTACTGCATCTTTTTGTTAACATTAAAAGTTGAGGACTTCTTAATGCCAATTATTTCACTCAGAATTTATTTATTTATTTATTTATTTATTTATTTATTTATTTATTTATTTAGACAAGGTCTCGTTCTGTTGCCCAGGCTGGAGTGCAGTGGCGAGATCTCGGCTCACTCAACAGGAATAATTTTAATAGCAAAAATTAAAAACTCCTTCATTAAGCCGGGCGTGGTGGTTCACACCTGTAATCCTTAGAATGATAAAAATGAAGTAAATTCACTTTGTTTCCCACATCTACCTAGATAGGGAAAGATGGAGTAGCTTTTTCTTTTTTACTTAATAGCTTCAGTGTTGTCCGGGCATTCGTTACTGTCATCTCAGTATAAAGTGGTAACAGGAAGGTCAGGTGAGTGTGGGCTGCCTAGGAGCTGCACTTAACTGCCTTCTGTTTCACAAAAGGACCTTTTCTCCCTATATCACAGGACCCTTAATGTCGTTGTTCTTGCTTTGAATTATGGGTGCTGGAAGAAACTAAACGAAACCGTCACTGAGCAATACACCCACAACCCATCGACCGATAGGAACCTTCGCGTGGGGGAAGTTGGTTACTTTTAGGCTGCACGAAGGGGCGGGGCCACGCGGGGCGGAGCTGGGGGTGGTCTGTGGGTCCGGGCGGGCTTCGGGGTAGTTCCTGGGTCCGGGGAGCAGACGATCCGCTGGCCACATTAGGCGCTCGGTCTCTGCGTCCGCCCCTCCCCGTGCCTCAGAGACTTGCGCTCCCCAGGCCCGAGCCCCTGTCGGCCTATCCTCGAGCCCCTGTGGCCCGCGAACCTCTAATTCCAGCCGCTGCAGCCCCCTCCCAGGCCTGGCGTCTCCGAGCCCCGCGGGCGCCGCGCCTGCCCTTCTTTGGCCACGCGGCAGCCGCGGTGTCGGCGAGTCCTCCCGGGTTGCCCCCGCGGGCGTCAGAGGGAGGGCGGGCGCCCGCGTGGTGACGGCGACGCCTGCAGCCCGAGGAGCGCTCCACTCGCCGCCGCCGGAGGGGCCGGTGACCTCTCGGCTGCCCCGCGTCGGAGGCTTAGATGGCTCAGGCGAAGATCAACGCTAAAGCCAACGAGGGGCGCTTCTGCCGCTCCTCCTCCATGGCCGACCGCTCCAGCCGCCTGCTGGAGAGCCTGGACCAGCTGGAGCTCAGGTGAGCCGCGGGCGGGCGGTCTCGGGCGTTCTGCTCGCCGCGCGGGCGGTTAGCGGACGGAGGCCGCGTGTGGCGGGCCGGGCCCTGGGGCACAGTGAGGCTGCGGCAACAGAAGTTGCTTATTGAGATTTGTTGTGGATGGACGTGGTGTAGTTTTGTTTATTTCTTGGATTTTCTCCCCTGGTCCGAGAGAAAACGCATTCGTAAGCTAAACCTGTGAGGGCGTGATGGTGGCCACACTTTGATTAACTTACCTCGGTGTTGGGGAGCAGGAAAAAGTCAGAGGAGATAAAAGTTAAGAGGTGAGATTCCATGCGATTAAGGACTGTGGCAGCGTGGGTCTGCAGAGCTTCTAGAACCTTCTGTGTGGCCCCAAATGTTTTTAACTTACTCTTCTCCCATAATACATTTTTAAGGGAGGCAGCAGTTTACAGTGGCCCTCCACGTGAAGTTAAGTTTCCTTGCTTCAGAACACTAAAGAGCAAAAATGAATAAAACAAAACCAACCCAGCAATCCATTGAGACCAAAGATTAGAGAGGAGTGAGGGGTAGGCAGTAAGTTACCGGGTGCTTCGTGCAGTAAAGACGTTGTGGCTTCTCTTTATCCCCTGACCTGGCGGACGGGATTCCGCGGTTCCGTTTGTCTCTCAGTATTTATTGGGCACCTCCCTACATAGAAGACGAAGTGCTAGTCACTGGCCTGAAAGCTTGAAAAGATAGTTTTCCCTTTTTCTTGCTTAAGATTTTATTAGGTAATATAGTAGTAGACTTGTACAGAATTTCTAAACAATATAATGTTAATAGATTTTTGGAAAGACTTTAACGGTATATTGAAAAGTTTTATCTACTTCCTGTGAACGTTTGTCTCAAGTTACTGTGTAAATTTTGTGAGCAGCTGTAGTTAAAAGAAAACCTTGCTAGGCACCTGGAATTCCCTGAAACTGTACACAGGAGTTGGTTCCATAGTTTTCTCTAGGTTGTGCATGAGCAAAGAAGCATGTGAGCCAAAAAGTTCAGGAAACCCTGCATGTGTGTTTTATCTGCCTCCATTAATACACCCAAACATGAAGTGTCCGTTTGCCGAGAAAATACTTCAATAACCAAGGCATCTCTTTTAACAAGTAAGGCATTATTATTGTTACTATTGGGAGAAAAGAGCCAGAGAGTGAGAGATTCTCCACTCAAAATAATTGCTTGGATGGCAGCAGAGACACCTAAGCCCTCCACGAGGTTCTGGGGTTCCACTCAGAATGAGGCAAGTGGAAGAGAGAAATAATGCTTCCTCATGGATTTTCACAATACTAGTAAACCTGACCCGTTCCACTCCCAGAAAAAGTAAAGCGCAAGTAGAAATTGGTGGCCTCAGTTACTGGAAGCCCCTCTAACTGATGTTTCTTTTTAGGGAGCCGCATAACAAGTAACACACCTCTCTCCATGTCTTCAGAACGTTGAGGGCATATTCTCAACCACTTCACTCCTCTCCCCTAGTCAGAAAGAAAAGATTTTTTCCTAAAGGAATGGGGAGGATGTTACTCCACCCCGCCTTCCTTCAAGCTGAGTCATTGTCCTCAAACTTGAATTAATGCCTCACATGTGGTAGGTACAAAAGCCCTCTGAAGTGCTCCTCTTAAAAAGAAAGCCTCAGGTTTTGAATATTATTATATTCTAATGTTTGATTAATGTAAAATGAATTCTGATTACTGCACATCAGTGATTAAATTACAACTTGCTTAATTAACATTTGAGCTGAGGAGAAAAGTGATTAATATGTGGCTGTTCATTTCAAGGACTTTTTTTTAGTAATTCTAGACTTTTGTAGGCCTTTTTTTTTTCTTTTTAAAAAAGTAATACTAGCTGAAAAGGAAGGATTTCCTAAGGTAGGCAAAAATAGAGAAAAATGCTAACATTGATCCTATTAAAGTGTTTTTTTGAAACCACATGGGCAATGGCATAGAACACTACACTATTAAAAACTAGAATCATGCGTACAAGATCGATTTTTAAATGAAAACATGAAACTCATGTAATTTTGCTCTAATAGTTTGATTTTATGTTAACTAATAAAGTAGTGTAACTGGGTAGAATAAAACCTTAACCGTTTGTACTTAGAAGTGCACATGTAATGTTCCCTAACCACATCATCCTGTCAATTGTGGAAGAAATTTCATACTTCATGACCTGGAGTATGAACTGATCTACATGATTAAAATGTTTGGCGGCAGTTCTACAAACTGTTAAAGGATTTCCATTTATCTCTAATGGAATTTATCAGTACACTAGCCCTTTTTTTAGACTGCATTTTGTCTTCTGTATTTCTTCCTTCTACAGAGGTGATTCCCTTTTCTCCCTGTTTTTATGATCAATTCTAAATGGAGTCTGAGTTTTGCATTCCTCAGTGGCTCAAACCATCTTGCTTATTGTTACTTTTTAACAATTATTGTAATTTATAAAAAATACTATATTACAATTATATATATATATATAGTTTTCATCCACAGTTCCTGGCTCATAACTCCCATAACCCTTATGACAGTCTTACGTTATAATGTTGGGGTGCTTTAGGCCTCAGGAAAAAGAATCTCTGTCTGACCTTCTTTCACCTGCCTTGTTTCTAGTCTGATTGTGGGTCAAAAGACCCTCATTCCAGAGAGGGTCCTGTCCCATGCCCTGGAGGAAGGAATTCAACACCCAGAGGCCAAGAAGAATCTGAATAGACTGGTCTTGTGTTAGAGTGAGAGCATACCCATTTTGTCCAGTCACATTTCTACATGGTTATCATTCATGCTTATATAATGAAGCAAGCCTCCATAAGAACCCGAAAGGACAGGGTTTGGAGAGCTTCCAGATAGTTGGACATGTGGAGGCTCCTGGAAGGTGATGTGCCCAGGGACGGCATGGAAGCTTTGTGCCCCTTCCTCCTTGTACCTCACGCTACACATCTCTTCATCCATGTCCTTTGTAATACCCTTTATAATAAACTGGTACATATAAGTAAGTGTTTCCCTGAATTTTGTGAGCTGCTCCAGCAAGTTAAACCCAAAGAGGGGGACATGGGAACTCCAATTTGAAGCCAGTTGGTCGGAAGTTCTGGAGGCCTAGACTTGCAGCGGTGGGGATTGGGGTCTTGGGGACTGAGCTTTCAACTTGTGGGATCTGACACTGTCCAGGTGTAGATAGTACTGGAACTGAGTTGGAGGATACTTAGCTGCTGTCCACTGCTTGTTGGTGGGGAAAATCCCCCACATATTTGGTCACAGTAGTCTTCTGTGTTGTTACGTGTGAGAGCAGAGGAAAAACACAGTGTGAAAGTCTTTTCTAAAACACATGCTATTGTTTATTCATTTAATGTACATGGATTATATGCCAGGCCCCATGTCTTTGTGGAAGTTACTATTATCACCATTCTCCAGATAGGGAAACTGACGCTTAGAAGCTTAAATGACTTGTCCAAAGTCACACAACTAGAAAGCAGTAAACTCCACATTTGAACCCAGGAAGCCTGGCTCTCCAGGCTCTAATACTTTATGCCTGAATTTTCTTAAATATGTCACATTTCAAAATGTAGGAATGATATATGGATGAATAGATGAGTTTCTTCAAAGAGATAAAAATTCAATCTAAATTGGCCTTAAATTCAGGGGCTACTGAACACCCACTATGTGCTAGGTATTGGGTGGCTCGTAGAAAGCTCAAGATGGTAATGAAGATATTTGGGGGATGGGTTTTGGAGACTGGCAGGGGGGAAAATCATAGGACTGGGAGATTGGGTTGTTACGTGTTTCCCAAAACTTATGACATAGTGGCTCCTTCTGCCTTCCTGTCATTCTTTCGTTGTGGCTTAACCTGCACCCAGGTAGTGAAGGGCTGGGGTCGGGGGTGATAGGGATCATTCGTCTGGCTTAAAGTTTCATGTTAGGGTGTGCCTGTGTTCCAGGAGTCACAAAACAAGATGGCATCATAGTTAATATTGTATAACAGCCTGTAATTTAAAAGAACACTTAATATACGTTGTTATTTGAAACTTTAAAAACCCTTTGAGTTAGGTGGAGGGCACATGCTCTCTCTCCTGGAAATGAGGGAAGTGGGGTCCATAAGGATGAAGTGGCTTGCCTAAGGACATGCCACTGAAGAGTGGCTCTTCACACTAAAAACACTAGTCCCTTCTTTTACACCAAAATGTCTTGACAGTAAATGTAATTTAATATTTTGGCGATTAGGGAAACCCGTCAGAATTTTACATTGCCTAAAAGTGATCATTATAGCATTCTTTTGATATAGGAGTACGGAATAAGAGATGGAACTATGAGTTTAAGAACCTGTTTTAGGCCGGGCGTGGTGGTTCACTCCTGTAATCCTAGCACTTTGAGAGGCCGAGGTGGGCAGATCACCTGGGGAGGTCAGGAGTTTGAGACCAGCCTGGCCAACATGGTAAAAACCATCTCTAATAAAAAATTCAAAAATTAGCGGAGGCCGGGCGCGGTGGCTCAAGCCTGTAATCCCAGCACTTTGGGAGGCCGAGACGGGCGGATCATGAGGTCAGGAGATCGAGACCATCCTGGCTAACACGGTGAAACCCCTTCTCTACTAAAAAATACAAAAAACTAGCCGGGCGAGGTGGCGGGCGCCTGTAGTCCCAGCTACTCAGGAGGCTGAGGCAGGAGAATGGCATAAACCCGGGAGGCGGAGCTTGCAGTGAGCTGAGATCCGGCCACTGCACTCCAGCCCCGGCGACAGAGCGAGACTCCCTCTCAAAAAAAAAAAAAAAAAAAAAAAAAAATTAGCCAGACATGGTAGCGCATGCCTGTAGTCCCAGCTACTTGGGAGGCTGAGGCAGGAGAATCACTTGAACCCTGGAGGTAGAGGTTGCAGTGAGCTGAGATCACACCACCGCACTCCAGCCTGGATGACCAAGCGAGACTCCATCTCAAGAGAAAAAACAAACCTGTTTTAGAAATTATTTCTTTCAAATCACGGTATGAGCATTTGCCATTTTCCCTCCTTTTTATGAAAGCACAAATTCTCATTAATAAATAAGCCCACATTCATAATGGTAAGAATATAATAGCTATTATTACTATAAATACATGCCAGTGCCAATTCTAGACACATTATACATATTAACTTGTGTGTGTAATTTTTTTAGTCAGTGCTATCAGTCAGTTACACTCTACCTGCTTTACTTCATTTAGTCACAAGCACTGTTTCCCTACTATCCCTGTTTCATAGGCGACTGACCCCTTTGCACAGCTAGTAGTGGCAGTGCTGGTGCAGTTATCACTGCATACTGTATTAGCTGACATATTAGTAGTAGCCACAGTTTAGGCAAAATTGCTGTTGTACTCCCCTAAGTCTCCCAGCAGTTTGCCGTTTTGATACTGAGGCTGCAGAGGTTTGTGAGGTGCCCAAGACCTGGGGGCTAGCTGAGGATGCATGCGCTCCGGTTTTGTCTTCCTATTGAGTGCTCTAAAATGTCTTTTTGTCAAAGCCTGCTTAGTTGTGATTTCATGCAGAGAGTTTTACAGGAGCACAGCCCAGGCCAGCCTCGATGTGAGGAAAAGTTCTTTCCCAATTTGGACGTGTAGCTGCTTCCAGGATCTGTTAGTAAAAACAGAACTGCCCCTCTCCGCCAAGAAAAGTGTTGTCAGATGAGATATTAAGAAACATGAAGGATAAAGTGAGATGGTCCAACATTTCTCTAACCAGAGTTCCAGAAGAAAATAATAGAATGGGAGACAGGGAATATTCAAAGATACAACGGCCAAGAATTTTCTAGAACTAATGGAAAAATTGTAGACAAAAGACATGTATATGAGTTTAAGGATAGCAATAGCTGACGAACAATACAAACATTACTTAAGTAGAGCTCTAGGTTCAGCTTTTTAAAAGAAAAAATGTAAAATATGAGGTAGTCCATAGAGTAAATGGATGTACCAGCGCCAAAGGGAGCATGAATTGCCTTAAGGGAGGGGATGGGGGAAGCTAAGGAAACAATTCCTGCCAAAGCGATTGGGTTTTGAAAAGGAATCACCCAGTAGACAAGGGTCAGGGAGAAAGAATGCTACCTGAAGAGGGAATCGGACATGAAAAGCCCATGTTGCCAAATAAACCCTGAGATCTTTACATTCTGGGAATGACATTTTACCTTTGCATGAAATGAAAAAAGTATACATAAAAATGTATATAAGAAGGTCTAAATGATAAAATCTGGTTTTCACAGGGATAATGTCCTGGTAATTTCTATTATATATTTTAAAAAGCCTTGTGGGGTTGGGGGGGGGTCCCCAAAACACAAAATTTAGCAGTTCCATCTAATTATTTGGTGTCATTTAATGATAAAATATTTTTTCATATGAATGATAGGCTTATTATTTTTTTCTAGAATGTCTTTTTTTATCTATTTTGTTAAGGACATGAACTTATTGCTGTAACTCGTAAATGAAACCTTCCTTTTCAGAATAGTGTTGTTCTCTCTTATCATCTTACAATTGAATACCAGCCGAAAAAGTGTTGAAAAATTAATCTCTTCTTTCAGCATCTTCTCATTTACCAATCAAATGATTCACCTGTGTCATTTGTCTAAATATTGGAGTCATGGTTTGTGCTTTTAGCATAAATATTTAGTGCCAACTCAGTCTCTTTCCTATGTTCTGGGCCCTAGTTTATCTTTCTGAGAGATTGCTAATGTAAAATGTTTAAGTAAATAGTGAATGGTCCTGGAATAGGGCCTGATACTTGCATTACTGTTACTTTGTAGAATATTGTATTTTGATTGTGTTCTCTAGCCAAATTTGTCACATGAGATTCTTCCCAGTTCTTTGCTTTTAGTGGCTCTTATAAACACAGACTTTGACATATATTTAATATCTTGAAGAATAAAGATATCCTGTGATGTTACAGCCTGTCAGTACTATTTTGGGGTATAACAGGTGGGTAACCGAAGGGGAAAAGGCATGTGTGTGCTTGGGGTAGGGGGAAGATCCTTTTATGGAATTGAACATGCTAAAACATTGGTGAAGTTATTCTTTCTGTGCACACTTAAGACAGCAATTAGGATTAGATCTCTCATGAACTTCTAAGACCATCCAAATACTGGGACTAGGTCTGTCACTATTTCATTTTGCAAAAGTTGGCAACTTACTGTAATTCATAATAATAAGGTACCCTGGAAGTATACAACATGTTAAATATACAATATGTATATTTTTATTTTGCTCTCATGATTCCACAACTTAGTTTTTTAGTGACTGGGCATATTCATGTGTATGTATAGTGTGAGTGCATGTGTGTGCAGTTGAGTGAAGTGGAGAAAGTAGCGCTTCTATAGTTTGATCAGGGCTTTACACAAAAAAGCCACAGAGACTTTCCCTTAAATTTGGGAAAAGACAAAGATACCCCCATCATTGCCACTGTTTAATACAGTACTGAAGGACCTTTTCTTAAAAAAAAAAAAAAAGTAATAGAAAAGTAATAGGATTGGGAAGGAGGAAATAAAAACTATGGATGATATGGATATGATCATTTACCTAGAAGAACCAACAGAATCAACAGACTGAACACTAAAATGAATACATGTAAATCAAGGTCGCCAGTGACAAGATAAACCTACAAAGACAACACTTCTCAAACCAGTAAAAATCAACTAGAAAATACAAATTCACAGGAGCAACAATATCTACAAAGACTACTATGAAGAATACATGAGAACTGTATAGAAGATCTGAATAAATGAAGAGACATATATCATGCCCTTAAACAGAATGACGTTATAAAGATGTCGAATTTCAATCATTTTTTGAGAAACACAATAAACGTACCCTAGAATTTATATGGAGAAGTAAAAGTCCATAAATAGCTAAGTTATCTTTAAAGAAGATTGAGGGGCCTGTTCTATCAAATATTAAAGTATAGTAAAAGGCTAGTGCTATAAACAAACAAAACAAAACTGGGCACTAGTATAAGAACAGTTAAATATACTAATGCATGGGATAGAGATTTTAGAGAGAAACTTAATATGCATTCGCTAGGGGAAAGATGGATTGTTTGGTAAATAATGTTGGGGAAAATGGCTATTTGGGAAAAAAAAAAATTCTTAACTAACTACATACAAGGGTTGATTCTAGGTGGATTAAAGACATAAGGAAGGTAGAACTATAAAGTTAATAAGAGAAAATATAGGAAAATATGACCAAGAGGTAGGGGGAAGACCTTAGGTCAAAACGTCAAAAGCATAAGCTATAAGGCAAAAAAAAAAAAAAAAGATGAATTGGATCACATCAAAATAAGAGTCTCTCTTTAGTGCAAGACATCCCAGATGTGGTTCATATAAGAGAAGATGAGAGATGGTTGCAATGTCTGTAACCAACAAGAATTTCTTGAGTATACAAATCAGCAAGGGGACAGTAACTCCTGTTTAAAAATAGAAAAACAAAATAGGAAAAGTCTATGAATAGGCTAACAAGGATACAAAGAGATGTCTGAAATTATTAGGAAAACGCAGGTTAACCTGACATACCAGTGTATTTCTACTACACTGGCAGCAAATAGAAAGTTGGAAAATGCGGAGTGTTGGTAGGGATATGGGGACTCCTGTGCTATGCTGTGGAGAATGAACAGGTACAGGTATTCTGCACAATAATCATAGTATTAAGTCAAAAGCGGAGTACACATACCCTTTGTCTCAGCAATTCTGTCCTGGTATATGTCCTAAGGAAATCCTCACCAAGATCCAAAGGGGAGATGTATTCATAGAAGCGTTATTTGTAGTAATAAGAAGTTGGTAGACAACCTGAGTGTCCATCTCTGGGAGAGTGGAGAAGGAAAAGCAGGTAGGTATACACATGGAGTATTATAAAATAAGTAGCAGCAACTGATTAGAAGTACACATAGGGGGCTGGGTGTGATAGCTCACACCTGTAATTCCAGCACTTTGGGAGGCTGCGGTGGGCAGATCACTTGAGGCCAGCAGTTTGAGACCAGCCTGGCCAACATGGCGAAACCCCGTCTCTACTAAAATTACAAAAATTAGCTGGGCCCGGAGGCTGAGGCATGAGAATCAGTTGAATGCGGGAGGTAGAAGTTGCAGTGAGATCGTGCCACTGTGCTCCAGCCTGGGGGACAAAGCAAGACTGTCTCCAAAAAAAAAAAAAAAAGTACATATGGGATCCTGGATGCTAAGTGAAAAAATAAAAACAGAATGAGATATAAATTCAAAATATACAAATAATACAGATCTTGTAAAAACAAATACTATTAATTAGATAAACACTAAATAGAATTGCCTCATGAGCTGGAAGGAAAATAGGAGAAAGGCAAGTGGATAAAAAATAGAAAAATGAAAGAATTTTAAAGCAGAAATGAAGAAGTTTTGAAAAGTTTGGTGATCTTTAAACTTGATTTGGGTTGAATGAGAGATAAAATTAATAGGAAGAACATCCTGCATACAATAACCGTTTTGTTTTCCCAATTTCTATAGGGTTGAAGCTTTGAGAGAAGCAGCAACTGCTGTTGAGCAAGAGAAAGAAATCCTTCTGGAAATGATCCACAGTATCCAAAATAGCCAGGACATGAGGCAGATCAGTGACGGTGAGAGCCATCTCCACAGAAGGGGCTCGTCTTTGACACTCCTTTAAAGAGTTTATGATAAGTGTGGGTCAATTTTTGCTTGACTTTCGGTATGCGTATACTAGGCCACAGCATTTAATGTGCGCCACAGAGAGCAGCTGCAGCTGTCAGTTTATTATAGCAGCCACTTACTCAGAGATTTCTTCCAGCATGCTCTCTACCCCAAGCCATGGCTGGGAGAGATAGGAAAAAGCCTGCAAGCTCAGAAGAGCTGGCCCCAGGCAGTAAGGCCATGTGTTTTATCCCAGGTTCACACTCCTAACTTCAGTTCTTCACAAGTTACTGGACTGCAAGAGATTAAAAAACACAGAGGAAAAAGGGTGAGAATGGAAGCAGAGAAGTAGAGACCAAAAAAAAAAAGATGAATTGAGGTACTACATAAAGAGAGGGACAAAATGCAGAGAAAATGAGGAAACTTGTAGGACCAGTAAAAGGCATGAATGTAAAAATGTGCTGTCATTTTCTTTTTTCTTTTTATGAGATGGAGTTTCACTCGTCACCCAGGCTGGAGTGCAGTGGCGCGACCTTGGCTCACTGCAACCTCCGCCTCCCGGGTTCAAGTGATTCTCCTGCCTCAGCCTCCTGAGTAGCTGGGATTATAGGCGCCTGCCACCACACCTGGCTAATTTTTGTATTTTTAGTAAAGACAGGGTTTCACCATGTTGGCCAAGCTGGTCTCAAACTCCTAACCTCAGGTAATCTTGCCTGCCTCGGCCTCCCAGAGTGCTGGGATTACAGGCATGTGACATCACGCCTAGCCTGTGCTGTCATTTTCATGTGAAGAACATGTAATAGGTAGGAATAGGTCACTTGTGGTTTTCTTTTTATCGGCACTGGACTTCCTACTTGGGCTCCTTTGGTGCCACACAGGCCACATGTTACTGGGCCAAGTGACTGGTGAGATAAGTAAGCAATCTAAATCCAGATCAAAACTGTTACACATCTATGGTAGGCCATGATCTAGTCTCTACACTGTCCTGCCCAAAGATCAATGAATTAGGAAGTTACAGAAGCAGGAGATTGCTGACTTTTTCATATAAATAATGAAATGTTGATAGAGCTCCTCATGCCGGTCAAGACTTTAGACCACTGTCCTGTTTCTATCTGGAGAAGCATGAAGTCAGTGCCTAGTATTGATGCCAGCTTATCTTCTATCATGGCTATATTTTCTCAACCAAAATTTGGGGCAGTGTATTCTGATAAATGTCGTTATGGAGAGATCTGGGACATCTGATCTCTGGAGCTGTACCCAGCATAAATCCTATATGTGCTTACTGCTCAAAGTGTTAAGACTTGATCTCCATCCCAGTTACAAATGCATACCTACCCAAACTTTTGCAAACATGCCAGTTTGAGAAGTCATCTGGTATCCCATATATGAAGATTGTCAGGAAATGGTATTCTACAACCTCTGTCTGTAATCTAATACATTTCATCAGTTAATCTTACATGCTATAATTTTAGCTTGTATCTTTAAAAAAATTTCATAGCAGAGATACTTAAATAATAAATTTAGTCACAAACAAATGCCTTAATGTTCTTGACATAGATAAGTTTATGTCTCATATTGATTGATATTTTAGGAGAAAGAGAAGAATTAAATCTGACTGCAAACCGTTTGATGGGAAGAACTCTCACCGTTGAAGTGTCAGTAGAAACAATTAGAAACCCCCAGCAGCAAGAATCCCTAAAGCATGCCACAAGGATTATTGATGAGGTGGTCAATAAGTTTCTGGATGATTTGGGAAATGCCAAGAGTCATTTAATGTCGCTCTACAGTGCATGTTCATCTGAGGTGCCACATGGGCCGGTTGATCAGAAGTTTCAATCCATAGTAATTGGCTGTGCTCTTGAAGATCAGAAGAAAATTAAGAGAAGATTAGAGACTCTGCTTAGAAATATTGAAAACTCTGACAAGGCCATCAAGCTATTAGAGCATTCTAAAGGAGCTGGTACCAAAACTCTGCAACAAAATGCTGAAAGCAAATTCAATTAGTCTTCAAACCCAACAGCATTTACACAATACACATGGTGTAAAAATGATAAAATATTATTTTAATTGATAACTAGTTCTTTATGTTAGATATAACCACTTAGTTGATACTGACAGTTGTTTCAGATGAGGAAAATATTCCATCAAGTATCTTCAGTTTTGTGAATAACAAAACTAGCAATATTTTAATTATCTATCTAGAGATTTTTTAGATTGAATTCTCGTCTTGTACTAGGATCTAGCATATTTCACTATTCTGTGGATGAATACAGTTTGTGGGGGAAAACAAGTGTTCAGCTAGGGGCAAAAGCATCACTGCTTTTTCCTGTGCTTTGGCGTGGAATCACGCAGTCACCTTGGGCATTTAGTTGACTAGAAATTCTTTACCTTAAGCAGCACACACATTTACTACACACACAGTGTTAACAAAGCACTGTGCTTAGAGGGATAAAAAGGAATCACAAAACAAGAATTTTCCAAAGTTGTCTCATTCCGCAATGTTAAGGCATCTATATCAAATTATTTTGGATGTAAAGATTCCTGTGTCTCATAATATGAATGTATTTTTTGATATACAAGAAACTATGACATAAAATGTGAGAAAACCACCTATAATTTGCCACTGTGAACAATTATATATCTGCTTCATCTTTTCTCAAATGCATCAATTCTCTAGAATTCCTATATTGTAACTTGCCTTTTTTAAAAAGTTAGATGCTGATATAAAGCCTGCTTGTCAACTTAATGAGCTCTATTTTATGTAGTCATATCTTTCTTTATCCATTCCCATCTTACGGACATTTAGGTTGCTTCCAGCTTGTTGCTATTACTGCAACATATTTTTGTACGCAGGGCTTTTTCCTTCTTTTGTTTTCAATTTTCTCTGTATAAAGGCCCAGCAGTGAATTATATTGGATCAAAGGGTATAGACATTTTCATGGCCTCACACACTTATTAAAAATTTTTTGTACAAAGGTTATAGCAATTTATACTTTTTTCAGTAGGTAAAATATGGCTATTTCACTGAACTCTTTCCAGCACTGAGCATTAACACTTAGTTTGCATTTTGTTTACTAAAAAGGTTGGCCAGTATGTTGATTCTTCTTTTATCTGTGATAAAGTGAAGCAACTAGAGAACACTTATTTGTTTAAAGTAACTAGTCCTATTGATATACAAAAAACGCAACAACTTCCCTGGATACTATTTTGAAATGAACACATCAATTTTTATTTCAATGTAGGTATTCTTCACACTGAAAAACCAAATCAGGATCCAAACTGATTTTATATATGTATCTCTCTCTCCATGCAAGCAATATTGAACTACTTTTTCTCTACAAAAATGCCAAGTTAGTCTCTTTATAAAAAGCAGTTAAAATCTGAAGACATTTATGTTACTTCCTTTGCCAGCTCCAACTCTGCCTTATTTAAATCTTTCCATTTCATGGGAAACATTAATTCTATCTATGGCAAAGCCACTTGGTTTGTTAGCAGACTCTGATTTGCTGTCATCAGGCTGTGAGATGATTTTTTTGTGCGCATCATTTTTTTCTTGACCAGCTTTTTGAAAATTAAGAAATGGATAGTCAGGTTTTCTTCAAGTTCTCAAGTATTGTCAGCATTCGTAAATCCCTTCCACTCTGGGAACTACTACTGCTCCCTGCTTCCCATGGCTTCCACATCAGCCCAGGACTTTTTCTACCACAAATTATTCTGGTTCTGCCTCCTTGACCTTGGTATTCTTAGCATTGTTTTTCCCATTTTTTTTGCAATGGAGTTTTTTTTGGAGGTCACTAATTTCTGATCACAGACTTGAAGAGCTATGATCCACATTTCCAAGCTGCTTGGGGTCCCTGGTTTGCAGTGTCTCCAGCATTCTGTACCTAGAGCCACATCTAAAGGGCAGGGAATCTCCAGTTTTTTGTTTTTTTTGGGTTTTTTTGAGTCTCACTCTGTCACCCAGGCTATCTGACAAGTAGAAGACATATCCACTGTAGCAAGGAACACTGTGAAGTATGAGTTAGAGAAAAGAGACTGTGAAGGAAAGGGAACAAACATTTTGTAGACGTTTAGTGTCGAATATATTCTAGGGAGGCAGTTTCTATAGTTTCTTTCGTTTACTTCATGAGGTTTCTTTTTGGTTTTTTTGAAACAGTGTCTTGCTCTGTTGCCCAGGCTGGAGTGCAGTGGCACGATCTCAGCTCACTGCAACCTCCACCTCCCAGGTTCAAGCGATTCTCCTGCCTCAGCCTCCCAAGTAGATGGGACTACAGATGCATGCCACCATGCCTGGCTAAATTTTTGTATTTTTAGTAGAGACAGGGTTTCACCATATTAGCCAGGCCGGTCTCGAACTCCTGACCTTGTGATCCGCCTACCTTAGCCTCCCAAAGTGCAGGGATTACAGGCATGAGCCACCGCGCCTGGCCAATGTGTTGATTCTTAACATGTATTTTTATTTATAAGAATGGGTGTATAATTTATTTTCAAATGATGATCAATCTCCTGAGTCACATTTTTACCCTCATTTAAACTATTGTCTTTTATATGGACTGTAAGTGCATATAGAGTATGTTTTGCCCTATCTCAATTCCATACCATTCCCAGCATATAATAAACAATTTTAGGGTAGCCCTCCTGCCATTTCTTGTTAGCACTGCTTTCAATATAATGAGGTTATTAACTATTGGCAGAGTATCTGAAATATGAAATAATTTTAGGTTGCTTTGATCTTTAAAGAAGTTGCATTATATATTTTACTATTTAGTTCCACACTGTTGATACAATCATACATATCACACAAAATTTTAGCTTTGAAATACATTTATTTTTTGATTATTGGAATTCATCCTTCATGAAATTTTTATTGAGTAGTGTTTTAAATTAAGCTCCAGAGTATAACTGCAACCAAATAGCAATACATACAAGTGGTTTTCCATTCAAATTTACAAAAGCATTATTTATTAGTAACAAAAATATAGAAGGAATTCAGTTTTCCTTTTATCCCAAATTTTTTATTTTTAAAAGACCATTTACTAACATCCTACTGTAGATATTTTGAGAGAGAGATGAAAAGAAGTACCACCTAATAAAGATTATTATAGCCAAATCATCCAGTTAGCCAGGAGTTTTATGATTGAATATTTCAGAGTCTACTGCCGGTTTTAAATATTTTGTTAGCAAATGAATTCATCTGTATGATGATAGACTTACATGTTTTATAGCTGAAAACGTAAGGAGTGACAATAGTACACATGACATTCTTAACAGTTAAAACTGAGTAAGTCCTGTTCGTTAGGTAAGTGCCACGTGGAACAAGCTTTCACCTCATCAGTTCATTTTGTCTTCAGAGAAACAGACAGACTAATGACAGATTAATGGGAACATTTTATCAGGTTACCAGTAACTATTCCAAAGGTTTTGAAAAGGGTGCTAATAATTAACAATATGTTATATTAAAAGGGTCCAACACTAAGTTGGGACACTAGGTCCTAAGGCCAACTCCCTATTCTAAGATCTTCAGAAAAGGTCCAATTTCCTAAAACTCACAGGTCCAAGGAGTACATGTTGAGAGTTCTTTCTGAGCACTGCACTGCCAACTTCTAAAGCAACCACCTAAAACTTCACTCCATAATGAGGAAAGCTTTCATCCTCTTTTTGGTAGTTTTAGCTTTATTTTGAAAAAATACATGTGTGCTATCAACTTTGGGCAGATACAAAGGAAATCATTTAACCTGGTTTTATTTAACTATATTGCCTTATGTGGGTTATTCTGTATACTATTTAATTCATAGAGACTGGAAAAGGAAAGGGAAACCTGAGGAACTTGGAAATACGGCAATTATTCCACAGCAATATGTCTATGCAAAAGATTAGCCGTAATGTTAAAAAAGTAGATTAGAGCACAAATGCACAATCACCTGGAATCTTGGAAAAGTTTTTCTTCAGTATACATGGTTTCATAAAATAATTAAAGTTATTTAAGAGAATGAAGGGTCTTGGAAAAAAATGTCAATTTTTGAAAGCTTTAAGAATTGATTAAATTGAGAAATTAACATATGGCTGACTTTCAGGCCTACTTAATTATTTTAAATGACTAATTATGGTTAGTTTTAAAATATGGCAGTGCAAATTAAAAATTCAAATATGTAACAGATCTCTCTTCAGTTCTTATTTTAAAAAAGATAAAACTAAGTACATAAAATTATATTGCAAATATTACAGGAACTGCAACTATCCTCAGAGATTACCTTTTTAAATACAGGTAACATGCCTTTAGCCACACAACTAATATGAAAAACAACTAGAACACATATAACAAGTGATTTTTCTGCCAATAAAGACCAAAAGACTATTTACTGTAAAATATTTTGTGCAAAAATTAAAGAGACAATTTGAAGAGAGTAGAAAAGATGACTCATTAGCAGTATCCACTGTTAGGAATTGAGTTTTGCCCCCAAAACCTATGTCATTGTCAGCAAAGGGAGTGGTGACAACTGGTGACATAAGAATAAACATTTTATATTACTGTGAAATAGATAATGCCAGATCATTTCAATATAATGAAAAGCAAAATTTACTCTTTTTAGTTTATTTTTCAATCTAAAATGGCAAAGAGAACATTTACTTTTGATCACTTAACAAGGACACACCCAGGAAATTTGATTTTCTCAACATTAGGAGGATGAGGAGAGTGCAGATGGAAGACTTAAAAAACAAAAAACAAGAGAAAACACGAAAGGCGCACGTAAAACATTTTTTAGTACAAATAATGAAAAATGACTTCATGACACATTTTCCAAGAAAAGTTATTTTTACATATTTTGAAATGCTGTAAAAACCAGGTATATTGAAAGGGGTTATTTATAGGTTAAAAATAAAGCCATTGATGAGTGATAATCAGTTTTCACAGAGTTCACGCAATTATCTTAGCTGGAAAGCTACTGTCCCAAGTGACAAAATTTATGCTCTGACACATGATTCCATGTTAAATCATTTTGTAAAAGAAATGATTTTGTATGTGGGACTGACAGCTCCTGAGAAAGTGCTATACAAACTGAAGGTTATAGAAATTTTGAAGTGATAATCTTAAAATATCATACAAAAATGTGTAAACAAAAGGATGGTTTAGAATTGCAGGGCATTATAAAATCTGTAATTTTAGTTAAGACTAATAATAGTATTTTTGTGCACTTTTAAAATGGTTAGTATAATCTTGTAAGTTCAAAGCTGGGTTCTCAGTGAGCAGCAAAAGGTGTTACATGTATCACCACACTTCACAGGACCTCCTGAATGATTGCAGATGTGCTGTGTACCTTCTTAAGGGGCTTTGGCTGATCTTATGACAGCAGGAGCTCACCATGCTTATGGGTGACTATACGAAAAAGATTTTGCAATAAGGCTCACCTGGGAGATGCTCTAGCATTCAAATTCCTATACTCCTCTTTTATCTATGCTGTCAGACGGAAACTGCTTACTGCTTTTAAAAGATATAATAAACTATAAATTCTGATAGTAAAGCACTATAAAAATTAGGTATGATATTTTTGGCACAAAGCGCTTTTTAAACCCAAGCTCATTTTGCAAAATATATGTCTAGAGTTTCTCATTTGAAAATAAAAACATATAAACAATATGTAAATGGTTTTATAAGTGAATTAGAATGTACATTTTCTTAAATACTGCACATACCTTCAGCTTACTCCAGTACCAGACATCTGCATGCACAACTCACATTCTACATTACACAGATATTGCACAAGTACCAATGCCGAAATACTAATGCAGGCTGGCAAGATTTAGGGTTTACCTTTCAGTATTATTTTGTGAAAGTATTCAGATTCAATATTATTTCGCAGAAAAGCTAGATGATCAATTTCAGGAAAAGAATGCTATCCTTCCTTGATCCATAGTATTAAAATCTGTAACAATATATTTAGGCATTTCATTTATGTTTTCCAGCATTTAAAATTCAGCAAAACCTGTGTTTGAAATTTCTTATAGCATTTGTTTAAAAATAGGAGAAGCTTCGTCTAATGTAAAAAAAATTAAAGGAGTCCACAGGGCGATAATTTTTCCACCAGAGGTCTCACTCTACATTCTGAAAAGCACTGCAGAGCAATATTTAAGTCTGTCACTTTCAGGGAGCCATTAGGTGCAGTCTGCTGAAAACCTGTAACATACCATGACAGCTGGATGGGTTTCTTAATGAACTGCACAATGTAATTCAATTATTTTCCTCCCAAAACATCTTAGGGTATGCTACAGCCGCTAAAAGGATTTCTGTTTTTCTTGGTCCTTTGTTTGTTGGGTCTAAGATTGATGACATCTCCACCATTGAGGGTACTTGAATTCTGACCCGAGTGACTTCCACCAGATGTATTAAACACACCTGTATAAATTGAAGGAAAACAGTGATTGCCACTGACACGCCTCAGAGTTACCTGTTGCATCCAGCTTGTTAGTAAAAGTAGTATTTTCAAGTATTTACAGTATCTTTACAATTGCAGTAAAATCCAACCAAATTTACCATCTTAACCATTTTTAGGCATACGGTTCAGTGGTATTAAATACATCTGTAATGTTGTGGAACGATCACCCCTGTCCATCTCCATAATTCTTCATCTTTAAAACTGAAACTCCATACCCATTAAACAGTAACTCCCATTCCCCCTCCCTGCAGACCTTAGCAACCACCATTCTATCTTCTGTCTCTTATGATTTTAACTACTCTACCTTATATAAATGGAATAATAGTGTCTTTTTGTGACTGACTTATTTCATTTAGCATAATGTCTTCAAGGTTCATCCGACGTTAGAACCTGAAGCATTTCCTTCCTTTTTAACGGTGAATAATATTCCATTGCATGTATATACTACATTTTGCTTATCCATTCATACATCAATGGACACAGATTTATGATTTGAAAGCTTTTGTTTTAGTTTTAATAGCTAATACACATGGTACAAAGTTCCAAGGCTATAAAAGCGGTCACATTAGGGCTCTTTTTCACCCAGATTTTCACCCCTTGCCAGTTTTCCTCCCCTAAGGTATGCATGTTATTACTCTTCCTACTTATCCATCCAGATACAATTTATGCATATATAAGCTAAAATGCATATACTCTTTTCTACCTAAGTTGTGGCATATTCTACACAATGTTCTGCATCTTTTGACTAACAATTTATCTTTGACATTTGAAATCACTAAATACAATAATTTTATTTATTTATTTTTTGGAGACGGAGTCTCGCTCTGTTGCCAGGCTGGAGTGCAGTCGCGTGATTTCAGCTCACTGCAACTTCTGTCTCTCAGACTCAAGTGATTCTCGCCTCAGCCTCCCGAGTAGCTGGGACTACAGCCGTCCGCCGCCACGCCCGGCTAATTTTTTGTATTTTATTGTAGAGACAGGGTTTCACTATGTTGCCTAGGCTGGTCTCAAACTACTGAGCTCAGGCAATCCACCCGTCTGGGATTACAGGTGTGCTGGGATTACAGGCATAAGCCACTGCGCCCGGCAAATGCGATAATTTTAATAACTTATTAACTTCACATCATGTCACTTCCTCAAGAATACCTAACTTTTAGTTAACAACAGTAACAACAGTATTTGTGAGGGGTGTGTGTGTTTTAATTTAAGAGACGGGGTCTTGCTCTGTCACCAGGCTGGAGTGCAGTGGTGCAATCATAGCTCATTGCAGCCTTCAACTCCTGGGCTCCAGCAGTCTTGCCTCAGCCTCCTGGGTAACTGGGACTACAGGCACGGGAATGTGCCATCAGCTAATTTTTCCTTTTTTTTTAAGAGAGAGGATATTGCTATGTTGTCTAAGCTGGTCTCAAACTCTTGGCCTCAAGCAGTCCTCCTGCTTCAACCTCCCAAATAGCTGGGATTATAGGCACGAGCAACCACACCCAGCTATTTGTGAGATTCTGTGTTAATACTAGTAAGATAGGTTTTTCCTACTTGTGCTAAAACAGTAAAAAAAAGGCCCACAGATAAAAGTGATGAGTAGCTAAAAGATAAAGAACTTTATAGTTTCCATTTTGAACTGTGGTATTCACAAAATGAAATCTCCAATTTATGAATGATTTAGCATCCATGACACACAAAATTCTGGGCCAAAGATACTGTCAGGGATACAAAGGTGACTAAGACCAATTCTCACCCACAAGAAGTTTACAATGTAGTAAGACAAGACAGTAAACAAGTAATGCCATATGAAATTATATGTTAAGTGTCATAAAAGAGACAAAATCTTACAGAAGGTTCAAAGGAAGGACAGATTGCATCTGATACATAAGAAAGGAAAAACTACATGAAGAAGGTAGAACTGGGCACTTGGCAATGCCCTGGACTTAGATGTCTATTCTTTTAGAAGATGGAGGCTGGGCAGTGGCTCACACCTATAATCCCAACACTTTGGGAAGCCGAGGCAGGAGGATCACTTGAGTCCAGGAGTTCAAAACCAGCCTGGGCAACACAGTGAGAGCATGTTTCTTTACTTAAAAAAAGAAAGAAAGAAAAAGTATGGAGGCTGTGTGTTCTTCAGGCAGGCAGATACACAACTGAGAACTTTCTAGAAAAGCCTTGAGGAATGAAGTGTTCCTTCGACAGAAGATGGGAAAAAGGTCATTCTCAATAGAAGAAAAAAAAATGACCAAAAGTGAAGAAGCAAGAAAGCATGGGGCATACTCAGAAAAGATCAAGACCTCTGAGAGAACCAGTAAATGGGGTACATATATATAATGGTGTGGCAGGAGGCTGCACAGAAGGAAGGGCAAAACCATCTTTAAATGTTGGAATGAAGAGAATCTGCATTTACTTTGTTCCACAATAAGTCTTATTAGATAAAGCATTAATCAGTAGATATGAAGAAGACAAGAGTGGGGCCAAGGAGACCACACCAGGTAGAGGCTTACTGTAAGTGTCCTGTGTTCACAAAGCATTTAAGGTCTCTGATGGCAAGAAATTTTGCAATGAAAATGGCGAAGTCAGGAAAAAAAAAAAAAAGCCAGAATCCAGGAAAAATCTAAGTTAAAACAGGTCTAGAAAATAATGTGTTTGTTTCTATGTATGTACTGAAGGGGGACGGAATACAGATATGAATTCCTTAAGAGACTATACAAAAGATTTAGAACCAGCAACTTTGGCTCTCATTTTCCTGGAATCCAAACCAAGAAGAGAGACATGGTCAGGCAGTTATTGTGTAAGAGAATACAACACACTTGTTCTTCAGGGAATGCTAAAGTTTTGCTAGCATTTAACATAAGAAAAAGCAAACTTAGTAATGGGTAATAAGCAAGATGGTAAGAAAAGGAAAAGGTAAGAGCCAGTATAAGTATAGATTCAGAAGAATGAGTGTTATAAAGCTCCTTTATATACAGGACAGATCTTTACAAAAAGTCTTTATCTCTGCTGTGTTTAATCTATCAGATGGATTTATAAAATTCAATGGCAAAAAAACCCCATTAACGCAATATACCTTTTAACAAGAGACCTGATACTTACCAGTTTACAATCAGAGTTATCAGTTTAATAATCACTTTTAAATCACATTTCTGAAAGAAATTAGCATATTATATGTATTTTTTAAGGTAAATATAATAATAATGAATGGAAAACAACCTTACCAAGTAAACATGGGCTAAAATGTCCTAGGTGCTTACCAATTTTGTTACTACTTGAATGCATTAGCTCTGGATCCTCAGCTATTTGTTGTTTGAGTTTCTGAAGGTGTTTTTCAGCCAAATACTTAAAAACTGGAATAAAAAGAAAACATCCAGAACCAGGTCAATGATTTATGCATGTAAATCTGTTATTTCACATCATTTATAATATTTATACTTACTAAACAAGTTTAAAGTTAGAATTAGGAGCATACAATCTAGTTAAAAATTCAACTTTTAAAAATTATTTGGGCAGTATCTGAGTACAATGATAACATTAACAAATGTGTAATGGTATTTTATTAGTAAATGAGTGAAATAATACTTGTAGTGATTGGCTCTTCTAAGTATCTGAATAGTGATTAATATTAAACAACACTAAACGGACTCAGGCTTGAAAAGATTTCTACTTTCTTTATGTGAAGAAAAGTATCCAAAACAGACATCCAAGAGAATATCTAGTTGCAGTCTAAATAATTAGCAATTCTAGAATGAGAAAAATAACTGATCATCTTTCTCTAATTTCACTTTCTTAAACTAGGAAATACTATTAAACAAATTAAAGTCATTGTAACTACTAGTGGAATATCGACTACGTGGAGTTCTAAAACAACTAAGTTATTTTTAACAGGTAGGCATCAAAACCACCTATGCATCTACTCTACACACACTGCATCTACTCTACACACACTGCATCTACTCTACACACACTGCATCTACTCTACACACACTGCATCTACTCTACACACACTGCATCTACTCTAAACACACTGCATCTACTCTACATACACTGCATCTACTCTACATACATAGCTTATACTCTACACACACTGCATCTACTCTACACACACTGCATCTACTCTAAACACACTGCATCTACTCTACATACACTGCATCTACTCTACATACATAGCTTACATTTTTCAAAGATAATAATAAAATGGAAAACCTCACCAGGATGAAAAGTATTCAAGGGCATTAGTAAATAATTAAGCACTAATGAAAAAAGATAGAATGCCTTTAAATTCTACGTAATGTTAGGTGACAAAAAAACTTGTTCTCATTATAAATATAATTTCTAAACAACACAATTTTAAAAGCGCAAGAATAAAATTTTTTTTGCAATAGGTAGCCTTAAAAGGCAATTTACCTTCATTCACATTTAGATCTTCTTTCACTGATGTTCTGTAGAACCTTAACTTTAACCTTTTTGCCAGTGCCTCAGCTTCCTCACTGCACATCAATTAAAAAAAAAAACTTTACAAAGGTGCCTTCTGATAGCTTGTTTTTTAAATCACTTTTAATTACATTTACTGAATACAGTTTGGCAGGGAAGGGGGATCAGATCTTTTAGAAAATTTTCATATTTCTTTTTAAAGGAGCTTGATATCAATGCCCAATTAAGTAAAATCAGTTGAAAGCTATATTTTCACTTAGTGCCTGAACTGATTTTAGTCTTCACTACTCTTGAGAAATAAACACCAACTATTATACCGTATGTGTACACAGAAGACTTTTCTATAAAGTCATTAATCTGTAGCCCTAAAATAAGAAAATATCACTTTTCTTTATATAATATTTGAATTAATTTTCTCTCCTCCTAAGAACACTTGTAGTTAAACTCTAAAAATCTTATAGTGAATTACTCATTTTATTCTTACTGGCCATGAAACAATTTTGCTGCCTAAATCCGAAGTCACTATATTAATGACTGTATCTCCAAATTGTACTCCTAATTTTAGTTTTATCAGGAGTCCTGGTTGTGGACTCCTGATATTAATGTCATTAGAGAGTTGTAAACATACCCCATAGGCTCCCGCTATTCCCCTGGCTTCTGGTCTTCAGCCCCTTGGGTAGTCTCCTCCGACACTGTAATCAAGGTTGGTCTGGGTGTTCACTAACATACAAGGGACAGTATGTGACTTCTAAGACTGGGCCATAAGAAACACTGGGCTTCTGTCTTGCTCTCTCTTGGATCACCCACTCTGGCAGAAACAGCCGCCGTGTTGTGAGAACAGGAGAGGACCATCTGACAAGGAACTAAGGCTTCCTGCCAAGTGAATAAGCCATCATAGAAATGGATGGTCCAGCACCAGTGAAGCCTTTCTGTGAGAAGAGGCCTAGCCAACATCTCGACTGCAGCTTCATGAAAAACCACCAGCTAAGCCACTCCCAAATTCCTGACCTACAGAAACTGTGATATAATAGATGTCTGTTGTTTTAAGATACTAAGTTTTGGGTTAATTTGTTATATAGCAACAGATAACTAAGATAAGACGACTTTAAAAAAAGGTAAAAACCAAGCAAATATTTTCAAAGCTAGCAAAAATATTAATAATGCAATGAGTAAATATTTATAAACAGAAATTATCTGCTCACAAATTTGAGCATAAGAGTTCTGAATATACAAAACAATATGAATCTGAACCCTTAATTAAAATTCATCAACAAGAATAGCTACTTAGTCTGGATATTACAAAATCTAGGAATGCTTTTCTTAACATTCTTAGTATATTAAGGTTTGACTTAACATGAAGAATTAGATTTCTTGTGCAAAGACAAGAAATTCTAAAAGAGCCTTCAAATTTTATTCCTTTAATTTTCTCTACTTAGGAATCAGAATGAATTTTTTAACCCAAACCAATCACACAGAATAGCTCATAGAAATTTTAAGTAAATTAAAATATTTAAGTAATTAAAGCCTTCAAAATGAACGTATAGAATTTTTCCTAGATCCTGTAAAACTATGCAAAAATTAAAATGTCTTAACTTTATAGAATTACTGTCCCTCCTCCCCCAAAAATAGCCGTCTTACTTCTTTATACAAGAATCATCCAAGAGATCAATCTTGTTTTGTACAAGTACAGTTGGTATATCTCCCACTTCAGCTACTACTTTCTCTCTCCAACTGGAAACTGCTTCAAAAGATTCCCTATCTGTGGTAGAAAACACGAGCACACAAGCCTGGGCTCCTGTAAGTTCACAGTCAATAAATCAATCAATCAAGTTATTTACATTAACATATTACATTTACATTAATAACACAATCTCATGCAGAATGGGGGCAACTTTTATCCACTCAGAACAACTTTTATGTAAATAAATGTTGAACTCATCTTTGTACCACTCTACTTTTCAACATATAAACTCTATTTTCATTTTTACCAAAAACAGTGGTTCTCAAATGTGTTCAACTGTCAAAGTACCCTCAAAACCATACACATTCTTTTTGGAATACCATAAAATACTGATTTAATTCCATTATAAAGGCTAGAGAGAATAGTAAACTAAAATTAGAGGTTGTTGCGCAAGCTCTATGTGGCTACAGGTGACATTAATGAGATAAGGAAGTATAATTCTTCCATATGCCCTGAAAATGCAAGCTCTATATGGCTACAGGTGACATTAATGAGATAAGGAAGTATAATTCTTCCATATGCCCTGGAAAATAACTATGATTATAGAATGGGTATGGTGGCTGAAGCCTGTAATCCCAGCACTTTGGGAGGCCAAGGCGGTTGCATCACCTGAGGTCAGGAGTTCGAGACCAGCCTGGCCAACGTGGTGAAACCCTGTGTCTACTAAAAATACAAAAAATTAGTCAGCTCTTGTGGTGGACACCTGTAATCCCAGCTACTCTGGAGGCTGAGGAAGGTGAATTGCTTGAACTGGGGAGGTGGAAGTTGCAATGAGCCGAGGTTGTGCCATTGCACTCCAGCCTGGGCAACAATAATGAAACTCTGTCTCAAAAACAAACCAACAAAAAACTACGATTATTTGATGTAAACACTAGTAGCTCTTACAGTTAGCCTCCCTAGCTACTAGACATTCACTTCAGTTTTTTTCCTACCCAGAATACATACTTTGTCTTCATAAAAAAATTGTACAGGAGGAATTATGTATTTATACTCTTAGCCAGGTGACATCTGGTAACTTCTAATAGGTTGAGTATATTTCCCCCCCAAGGTAAGCCTTGGCCATGTGACTTGCTTTGGCTAATGGAACATGGGTAGACATGATATATGCCAACTTTGAACAGAAGTTTTAAACTTAGATTGTGTGGTTTGGGTTGAATTATTGCATTTCTGCTGAGTGCCAGGAAAACAACACTTCCCAGATAGGTACTCTTCCCTTAGCTTACATCCCAGAATGAGAACACCTGGGAAGAAGACCTGCACTGTTGAGCAGAGCTTTACTCCTTAACATTCATTTAGTATGAACAAAAAAATAACTATTTGGTGTGGTAAGTCACTGAGATTTTGGGATTGTTATTATCAGCAAGAACTGACTTAACACAATGAGTTTTGCAGTAAGACCGCCTGGGCTGAGTGTTAAGTCTGCTAGTTGTGTGATTTTGCATCAGTTTAAGTTCTCTGAGACTGGGTTTCTTTATCTGTAATATGATATTAATAATGCCTATCTCACAGTTATGATGTGAGGATTAAAGTGGATGACTTTTGTAAAATGCTTAGCGTAGCACTCAATGCATGAGAAGAATTCAATAAATGTCATTTCCCTTTCGTTTACTTTCCACCTTGCTGTCCCTGTTGGTAGAGTTATTCAAGTGCATAATTGCTTGTTAAAAATCTCATAGAAAGGAATCAGTTGTGTGGTTAGGAATTGAATAAAACGATTTTCTTGGGTGGACATTTTTAGCCCAAATTTAAGAATTTCTTTTTGAAGAGAATCTAAGATGCTCTTATAACTGATCTTTTTCACAAATGATAGGTTCCTGTACAGTGATAAACTAGGTTTTTAAACTGAGCTAACTAGACCCCACTACAGCATTCCTGGCTTATGAGATGGGAGGGCTGAAGTCTGTAGGGCTGCCCGGAAACTCAGGTAAGAGTTGAAGTTGTAATCTTGAGTCTGAAATTCATAGGGAAGGCCTCCATGCAGGAAACTTGGGCAGGATTTCTATATTACAATATTGAGGCAGACTTCCTTCTTCAAAAATATGTTTTTGATTTTAAGGCCTTCAGCTGATGGGATGGGAGCCAGCCATGTTATCCAGGGTACTTTCCCTTTACTTAAAGTCAACTGATTGTAAAATGTTAATCATCTCTACAAAACCTTCACAGTGCCAGCTAGATTAGTATTTGACCAACTAACTAGGCCCCATCATGTAGCCAAGCTGACACATAAAATTAACCACCCTTAGGTGAAAAGGTACTTCCTGCAGCAGAAAAGGGTGTGAGGGGCACAGAGACCCCTCCTGGTCATGAAGCACTGAAGTCATGCTTCACCTAGTCATGAAGCATTGAAGGTTGTGGCAGCCTCGTTCTCCATGCTTTTTCAGTACGTTTGATGTTGTATGGTGGGGGCAGGAGCATATCAGCCAGTTCTAATGGTTTTTGTTGTGGTCTCTATACAGACCAGGGGTCTATTTTTTTTTTTTTCCCAAACTTGAAAGAAAAGTAGAACATTTTACTTATAATTAGAGCTACAAGTGGCTTGTTAGATATCAGAGAGTGGACTGAATTTGAAAAAAAATGTTCTACCGTTGGCTAATTGCCACCAGCAGAAAAGTTAGAAACATGTTTAACTTGATGGAGTGCTTAATTTAGTGATAGTTTTTGGTGAGCTTTTGGAAAGCTTTACTAGGATTTTAGGAATATGCCTGAGTCTCAGTAAGCTTTTCCTTGGAGAATTGAAGTCTCTGCAATTCCACAGAAGGCAGTACTTCCGAAAACCATCAAAAGGATATTATTCTGTAATGCTCATAAGTTCTGTCTTTAGCCTGTTAAATATGATATCTACTGGATTTTAAACCACTGCCATTTTAAAGAACGTCTTTTAAGAGTTTACTGATTTAAGTCTTTTGATAGGCCTGCTGCTTATGGCTGTCATCCTGATTTTACTTTAAAAAATAAAAAAAGCTTTTAAATTGAACTTTCAGGCTGACTACTAGTTATAACTTCTAAAATCTCTGGATTTGATTTACTGCAAAAGTAATGTCATTAATTTTATAAGACTACTTCTAAGCCGTGTTTTCCTTGCTTTTGGATTTTCCCTGTGACAAATGAAGAAGGACTCTTAACCAAGTTTTACTGGGGTAAGATCAATTTTATGAAGCCTGATGACTTCTTATTCTAAATTTTACCTGAGCAATGTTCCAGCTTAACTGTGTGGCTCATAATATTGAGTGACTCTCTTGTCAGCTCTTTATTGATTAATGACACAGATAAGAAAGATGTACCTTGTCACAGGAGGATTAGAATCAAGGAAACTAGAAGTCCCTCATCTCATCTCAAGACAGATGAAAGTCTGTATTTAAGGATGATATGATCCATGAAAGAGAAGGAAAAGTCAGGGTTTAGTTAAGCAATGTGGAGATGAGAGGAGGGATAAGGAAAGAGAAAGCTCACGCAGCGATACTGTTTTGAAGATAACTTGTGGGGAAGAAAGGGACAGTCATCTAGGCAGCTAGCAAAACCTATTCCATAAACCCTTGGTAAGTAAGTGGCTTTGCTGACGTAGTGGAAAGATGACCACTGTTACTGGCCATCTTGTTGTTTAGCTGTCAGAGAAGATTGTGCTGCTTCCTACATCTCCTCTCACATGCTCCTTCACCTGCTCTGTCTTACTGAGATGGATAAACCTTGTAGTTCAGTACTGTCAAGGGCACTGCAATTAGTACTAAATCATTCTTGCTCTGACAAGTTCTGGCAACAGAAGCTTCTGCCTGATGTGTAAGTGCATTTTCAGTGTTTCCTGAGTGTCTGAAGACATAGCAGAGCCCTCCATACACTGTGCAGCTTAATTCTATAGTGAATTCAATGCAAGTTTAGAAGAGGAGAAATATTAGAAATCAAGATGGGCTGTTGTCTTTTGCCAGTCATGATCAACTTTGGCTAATTTTCAATGTATGTATCTTTAATAAGATAACAGGAAATCTATGTTTCATCTTGAAACTCCAGAAAGGGTTTTTATATGTAAATGGTGCTGTACCTCGGATGCTGGTATACCTCAGACACTTCTTCACAGAGTCAAATTAGCTAGTTCTGGAAGAGCATATAAATAATAGTAATCAAATAATATGCTTAGTAGCTAGAAAACAAGAAATGATCACTGAGAAATTAAAACATTATGGATTTAAAAATGTTGGTCTAACATGAAAGACAGCTCTAGACCAGTGGTTAAAAGCCCTGGCTCTGGGACCAGACTATGTGGATTTAGATACCTTCTCCTTTATTATTTAAGCACTCCAAATATTTCTTTTTCTGCAACCCAAGGATAGTAATATACAGGCAAAAGGATTAATGAGATATTAGGTTAAAAGATGACTGACACATGTATGTGTCCAATGCACGTTGGTTGTCTTTATGATGGTGATGAAGGTGAGACTTCCATTTTCCATGCTCAAATAAGTCAAAATGAGTACAGAAAGCTGGATAAAAATAGATTGTTTGTAACCATTTTGGCAAAAAAATCACAGGAGAGTGTGGTAAAAGATTAACATAAAACCTAAGGAAGTATAAAAAGATGAAGGTATTAGAAATCCTATCTCTACAAAAATCGAGGAAATGGAGAAAAGATAATTTTTGGACTTTCAGAATAATTTATTTGTTAGCATTTTCAGTTTCATGCATTTGAATATGGTTTTGGATTTGCAAAACTATTGTCCTGAAACTTTTGAATTAATGTTATAATTGTGTAGTCGTGTTTTATCCTATTTCACAGAAGTCCAAAGACCTTCATGGACATTAGATAAATGAGATTAATTAGCCTCTTTGTTACCAGTTGTCAGAACTATAAAGAATCCTTTCTAATGTCTGGCCTAACCCTGATACTGGATTTGGTCAGGGTATATGCAGAGGTTTGTTTTCTTAGTTTGGTTCTTTGTGATCTGGCTGTAACCTGAGTCTTAGGCTGCCATAGTAGAAGAGCTCTGTTGTAGAGAGTATTTCCTTTGTTGCTTAAGAGAACCCCACTTGGCTGGAGCTGCTGTCTCGACCGTGTCTTCTTTTTATAATACGGTTAATGTGCGAGAG